TGACAGAGGAGGCTCCGCTCAGATCCCATTCTCTCCATGGACAGTGGGTCTCCACCCCAGCCCAAGTCCAAAGTGTTCCCTTTTGGTGCCCCCCCTAACTTTCCAAAAGGCACAAAGAGGCACAAAGTCGTGACTGAGAAGGGCAGCTGGGCAGGGCAGCCCCTGAGATGGGCCAGGGACCAGCAGGGGGTGGGGCTGGCTCATTCTGGTCACCCTAGTCACCAGGTCTCCCCAACAGCTGAGCCAAACCTGTCATTCCCCTAGGCAGGGGACACTTGGAGAATTGGTTCCTGGGGGGCACATGCAACCCCCATGCTCGAAGTGTGCCGGCTGGGCGGCCAGCAGACGGCAGCAGTGGCAAACACGGCCTCTGGAGGGGCACAGGAGGCCCTTCCCATCCTGTCTGGTGGCCAGCTGGAGGCCAACGAGGCGACCCAGCACCTGACACGACATTGGAAGAGAAAACTTCCTCAGCCCCCAGGAGTGGAGGCTGCACAGCAGCTGGTGGCTGATCTGGACCTGGGGTCGGGTGGTGGCTTTCGGGCCTGCACCTGTCCCTCCTCCTAGCCTTGGCCAGAGCTGGGCACTGGCGGCAACATGTATCTAGTGACCACCCCCCAGCTCTGCCTTCTTCCCCAGCCATGCCCTGTTCCCTGGCCTCCAGAGTGAGCCTCCTTGGGGTCTCAGGGCTGGGGCCCTACCAGGCAGAAACGTGACCTTTCAGAGTGGAATTGCCCATGCTCCCTCTCTGGCCCCAGGGACAGTCTCACCACGTGAGGGGCACTCTGGAGCTCCTTCCTCTCAGGCCCCACAGCATCCCCTCCCGCACTTGGACGTCAGGACTGTGGGGCAGGTGAGACCACAGCTGGAGACAGACAGCACTGGGCACAGGGGCAGAAAAGGGTTCGGCAGCTGCAGGCTGAGGCCCAGCTGTGCACAGGTGAGCATCGAGTCACTGGGGGTGAAGGTGCTGCTCGCATCAGGGACAAGGCCAGTCCCCAGGGCATGGAGATGAAGGTGCTGCTGGCATCAGGGACAGGTCAGCCCCCCAGGTCATGGAGGCTGATGAGAGTGACCCTCACGTGAACCTTGGGTGGCCTCAGACAGGCAGAAACCAGGGCCTGAGGGCTGGGCCCACAGGGTCCACGTGGAGCCCTTCATGGCTGGAGCCTGGCCTGGGGCTTCCCTCGGGGAGCGAGGGGCGGGGAGTGTGGGCGTTTTGAGTTTCCCGCTTGATGGGATCCCAGGTCTCGTGGTCTCACCAGCATGTCTGTTTCCTTCTCCACCATCCTTTTTTCCCTCCTCCCTCCTTCCCTCCCTCTCTCCTTCCCCTCATGGGGGGTTCCCATGGTGGGCTGTGCTCCCCGGGGCTCCCAGCCCTCAGCTTTCACTGCAGTGGGTGAAGGTCCTGCCAGCACTCAGGGCAGGGCCTCATTCCTCAGCAGCTCACAGCCTGCAGATGCCAACGCTCCCTTAATTCTTAGGCAACGCCTGGCGTGGCGGATGGCCAGGGGTGGGAACCTCGCTAGGGTTCCAGTGGAAAGCAGCCCCGAAACTAACCCTGCTCACCTCTCTGAGGACCGGACCTGACCTGGAGACCTCGGGAACAGTGCGGGGGGAGGCAGGTGGCAGGTGGGTGCCCCAGGCACCTCCGCTGAGGAACGCCTGCTGCACAAGCACCCAGGGTCTCCACCCCAGAGCCGAGCGACACATGACAGGCAGCCTGTGTGAATCCAAACACACAGGAGCACCTGCCGCATATCCCTGCGTCAGCTGCTGGGACAGGGCTGTGATCAGTCAGACCCCGCCACCCCTCGCCTGCACCGCCTCTGGTGGGGGAAGAGAGTGCCCGAAGAACAAAGAAATGCAAAGTCGATCCCTCCAAGGACCCCCAGTGCCACTGGAGAATCCAAATCAACTTCCAGGGTGGCCGAGCCCTCTGCGGAGTGACATTTTAGCTGAGGGTGGAATTCGGGGAGGGCCCGGCCACGCAGAGATGGTGGGCAGGACCGTTCAGCAGGAATGGGCTCGGCATTTTCAGGGAACATAAAGGGGCCACTGTGACTGGAGCGGACTGGGTGACAGAGCGGCATGGGGAATGGGGTGATGGGGAGGGTTAGGGAATGGATGAGATGAGACTGGATTTGTTCTAAATGCCGCAAGGAACCAACGGGGAGATGCGACCTCTAAAATGAATAAACCGGGCATGGTGGCTCACGCTTGTAATCCCAGCACTTTGCGAGGCCCAGGCGGGTGGATCTCCTGAGGTTAGGAGTTCGAGACCAGCCTGGCCAACATGGAGAAACCCTGTCTCTACTAAAATACAAAACTTAGCTGGGTGTGGTGGCACATGCCTGTAATCCCAGCTACTCAGGAGGCCGAGGCAGGATAATCGCTTGAACCCGAGGGTGGGGGGGTGGGCAGAGATTACAGTGAGCCAAGATCGCACCACTTCAGTCCAGCCTGGGCAAAAGAGCGAAACTCCATCTCAGAAATAAAATTTAAAAGTAAAATCAAATGAGCAAAACGCCTCCCCCAACCAGATAACAATATAGGGACACTCAGCAGGCACCTGTCAGCTGTAGGACATCGGGAAGTCCAAGGGAGGGGGTCTCCAGAAGAGCTCCACAGACCAGGATGCCCTGTGATGAAAGCTGCCCCCCAGCCTGTCTGAGCTGGTCAGAGGGAGTCTGCAGGGCACAGGGCAGTGGACACTGGTCAGGGGGTGTTGGCACACAGCGAGAATCCCTGGTACATGCCTGTATTGCATTTGGATGGGTGAGCTTCTGCTGCATATCAGTGGTTCAGCTGTTATGTGAATACCACCTTGGATGTGTCTGAGTGTGGGGTGAATGGGAAGGAAGTGGGAATTGGGCTGGTCAACTGACCGGCTAGAAAAGGAGGGAGAGAGGGATGGCAGATTGGTGGATGGGTGAGCGGGTGGATGGAGCGATGCCTCAAAGGGAGGGAGGGAGGGAGAATGGGAAGATGGATGGATGAATGGGTGGGTGGGTGGGTGGATGCATGGAAAGGAAGATACATGTATATATCGGTGGATGGGTGCAAGGGGGCCAGGTAGTGGAGTGGCTGATGGCGCTCACAGACTAACAAGTCCCACTGGCTGTCAGTGGTGCTGGGAGAAGGCATGCGGGGTCTGAGCAGAAAGGCAGCCAAAGTCACTCTGCACCTTGGCCCAGGTGGAGCTGGAGCAGACAGCCAGACAGGGCAGCTGCGGCTGGGCTGTGAGCTCCTCTCCCTGCCCCAGGAGGTTCCAAGTGAGGGAGACCTACCTGGGCATCACCGTCACCATGCTGCCGGGGACGTTCCGGAGCCTCTGGGTCCTGAGAGCAGGATCGCAGCTGACTCAGGTTGGCTGCCCGGTGCCCAGCCCAGCCTGGGTGCTCAGAAGATCTCAGCTGGCTGGCTGAGTCAGCCTGGCCTCCGCTCAGGTGCTGGCACCTGGCCTGAGCCACACCTGGACAAGTAGGACAGGTTTGCTGTGATTGACAAATGGGGACGGGACTTCCCTGCGGCAGGTTGGCTGAGCCGAGCTGACACACTGAGCAGGCAGATGCTCAGCAGCCAGGTTTTAGGACCGGTTCCACCTGTCTCAAGGACGGGCCGTGCTGATTGTTAGCCTCTCTGAAGCCGGTTTCCCTGTGTGTAAGCCGGCCAAGGTCACCAGCTGAGACAGGTGCTCAGCGAGGGAGGGGCTGGCCCAATCTGGCCGCAGCCTTGCAGCCCCTTCCCACTCTTTGGGGCCACAGAGGGGGCTCTGGGGCAGTGGACAGAGCGCAGGACCACGGACACCCTGCGCCACCCAACCCACTCCTGAAACCACAGCAGGAGAGGCTCTGAAGAGAGGCCCCTGCCCAGGAACACCCAGAGCCATGGGAGAAACGGAGTACTTTGGCCCGGGCTTGGCAGGATGCCCCTGGCCTGCCCAGAGACGTGGTGGGAGCAGCCCCAGAAAATCAGGGGGCGGAGGAAAATTGATAGGCGTTTTTAAGGAGCTCATCCTTGGGGAGTGGACACAAGATTAGAAGCCGGAGGGGATGCACTGCCAACCCCTGCCAGGTCACAATTACAGGGTGAGGCCTTCCGTTCCGTGAGCCATGATTTTCTCATCTGTAAAATGGGCTAAGACCTTGGTGGGTTTCGAGCCGTCAGCGTCAAGTGCCTGCAAAGGCGTGACTGCAATCAATTCTCCTCCACTTGGCCCAGTCGCTTCTGAACCCACAGGGGAAGCCGGTGAGTGGGGCTGAGAGAGCAAGGCCGGCGGGCAGCAGGGCCTGGCTGTGTGTCCTCCATCTTTTGTGAAGCAGGAAGGAAGCTCCCACTGGGGATGCAACGTCTTAGGCTGGGTGTGGACGCAGGTGCACCTGGCTGTGAGCGCCCAGAGCTCTCTACCTTGCAGGGGTACACGTGGGTGCACGTTGGGGCACCCAAGCAACAGGCGGGCTTGACCAGAGGTGCTCTGTGGGGAGGGGCTCCAAGGACCCCTAGGTGGATGGCGGGCCAGGCTCCCAGACTGCCCAGCCCCGGGCCAGTCACTCCCTGGGGCCACTCGGGCCACCTGGTCTTGCCCCCACACGTCTTCTTTATGGACAGACGGCTCTAGACCCCTCCCACCATGCAGCACCATCACCTGGGAGAGAAACGTGAGAGGGAAAACCTGCCCGGCTGCAGCCAGGGTCTCACAGAACCTGGGGTGGGGTTCTGAGGGGAACGTCTTCCGAGGGGGCTGACGAGTCTCTGACCAGGATCTGTCCAGCCCTCCTGCCAGGCCTGGAAAGGGCTGGCACCAGCCAAAGCCATTTGCCTGAGCTGGGCTGCCCTGGTGACCACCCTCCACCAGGCTCCCAGGGCCCAGGCCCTCCTCACCCTGCCTCAGAAGTCCCCTGAGAGTGGACCGGGTGCCAGCTGGGGGCACCCCTCCGTGCGGCTCTGAAGTCCCTTCCCAGGCGGTAACCTCGTGCTCCCCTCCTCCTCCCGTCCAGAAGCCCCCGAGCACCCGCAGCATGAAGGAGGAGGCCTTCCTTCGTCGCCGCTTCTCCCTGTGCCCGCCTTCCTCCACCCCTCAGAAAGTCGATCCTCGGAAGCTCACGCGGAACCTGCTCCTCGGTGGAGACAATGAGTTGGACTCCCTCAGCCCAGGTCAGTGCGGCCGAGGCAGGGCAGCCTGGCCCCCAGCTTGGGCCGGTGGGGTGACCCCAGGCAGCCCAGCCCCTCCGTGGGGGTCCCCAGCCTCCATGCTGGGGACTGGGTGGGTTTGCAGCTTGGTAGGGCGCCAGGTGATACGGTTTCTTGGCCTGACCTTCGGGGCCAGGTGAAGCCCATCCAGTTGAGGAGGGGGCTCCTACAGCCCAGGTTTCCCGAGTTACGTGGTGCAGTCATCCCAAACACGCTCCAGGGATGGGTGGCCTGAGCCCCAGTCCTGGCAGGGTAACCCCAGGCCAGCTACTTGACCTCTCTAGGCCTCAGTTGACTGATCTGTACAATGGGACAGCATTAGTACCTGCTTCCAGCTGCACGCAGGTCCTGGGCTCTGGGAGGGAACAGTCGGACCAGGCCTGCCCTCATGCAGTTGTGGATAAAGCACCCAGTGCGCAGATTCGGGATCTCTGCCCGCCAGTGCTGCCACGCTCCAGGCACCTGACAGTTCACAACCCCTGCCCTGGCCAAGGCTGAGCTGTGACTGCTGTCCCCCGGAAAACCCAGCTCTTCCTCCCCTGCTCCCCCGAGGGGTAGGAGGCAGGGGCTGGCACCTGCCTGTGGGGGCCTCTCCCCAGCTCTGTCCCCCTCCTCCTACTGCCTGCTTTGGGGCTGAGGAAGTGGGAGCCCCAGCTCTGCCTGGCCATGGTCATCTGTCCTGTCCCGGGGATAGTGGGAGAGCATTAGGCAGACATACCATCCAGGGGCCTGGGGATGGTCCCAGCCAAAGTCCCACCCAATAGTCAGAAAAACGAGGTCCCATAATAGAGATGGCCTTGCTGAAGGTCCCTTGGCAGGCAGGGGCACTGGACACCCAGTGAGGTAAACCCCACACCCTGTATTCTCTGCGGTCACGTTGACCCTGGCCAGAGGCTTAGAAGCACTTAGAGAGGCAGGGCAGAGGAGGGGAAGGGCCAGGTGGTCCATTTTGGAGGGACTGGCCAGGCAGTGCAGAATGCAGGCTGGGAAGGGCCTTTTCCGAGGAACAGAGACAGCAGGTCCCAGGCCAGGGGAGAGGGGTGGGTGTGGACAGGCTTCAAGGAGAAGGACAGCATTGGCCTCCCCTGCCCAGGGCACCTGCACTCTGTCCCTTTGAGTGCTCTGAGGGCCCCCGAGCCTTCCCGGCCAGGAGGCAGTACTCTCCAGGGCGGGGTGGTTTGCTGGCGGCCGCAGGCCAAGCCCCCAGGACCGTATGAGAAAACAAGCACCAGAGGAAAGGGCTCCTGCTGGCCTCCCCAGCACCCCGGCTCAGGGCGCAGCACTCTGCAGGTGAGGAAGTGGCGGCTCCCTGGCCAGGGGCAGCCATGTTCTGTGACTGTGAGTGGCCACTGTCCAGGACCTTCGGACAGAACCACTTCCTCAGGCCCCCATCCTGGCTTTTCCAGTCTTCGTCCCCACCAGGTCCCCGCCCTGGGCTGTCAGGGAAGCTCAGCTGTAGGCCTCAGGCCTTCCACTGGTCTGCGGGCATCTGTCCTCACAGCCAGCCTATTGCTGGCCTGTCGCTGTGGCCTCAGCAGGATGGGGCTCACTCCAGCCCTCAGGGCCTCCGAGTTTCAGTGCCAGGGACTGGGGCGGGCTTCAGGCCTCCCCCGTGAGCATCCCCTCCTTCCTCGTGTCCATGAATCGTGCCTTGGGGAACTGGCTCCAAAGCAGACAGAGCCGGGGAAGGGGAGGCCGTTTCCCCAGGAAATGGAGACATACCTCGGGTCCCCTCCCTCGCCCCTCCTTCCTCCTGACCCGGCCTTCGAGAGCAGAGTGAGGAACAGCAGGGTGGGATGAGGGACAGGCTCTCCCTGCAAGAGCCCAGCACGCAGGGGCCACAGCATCCGGCCAGAGGGATGCACGGTCCAGGGCCCCCCAACCTGCCGTGAGCCTTTGAGACTGGATGCCACGTTCTCTGTCTGAAAACAGGGACTCTGGCCTTACAGACAAATGCACCCCACAGCAGGCCCAGGATGCGGGTTCCTGCCAGCTCCTGCCCCAGCTTCCTCCCTGTAGGTCCTGGAGGCCCTGCCAGAGCTCCTGGCCACTGGCATTTAGCACACCTCTCAGACAGTGTCCTGTTGCTGCCCCCACCTCCCAAACCGCCCGCACCCACCCTTGCCTGTAGCACACCAGGCAGCCAGTCTGAGTAGCCTGGCTCTGCTCACCATGCCCGGGTCCTCACCCTCGCTGCTCTCTTGCAGGGAAGGACATGGAGCCCAATGGCCTGTCGCTGCCCAGGGATGAAGGGCCCCCGACCCCAAGCTCCACCACGAAGGTGCCACCGGTAAGAGCCTGGGCATAGAAGCGTCCGTGGGCTGGAGCCTGGCTTGGGGGACAGCAGGAAATGGCTGCGGAAAAGGATAGCAGGGCGGCCGGCTGAGCCTGCCTTTCCAGCCGGTTCTGGGTGGGAAAACAGCTCCCAGTCCCAGGCCGTGCTGCTCCGGGAGGGCCGCTGCTGGAGATTCGTGCTGTTTTCACTCCTGGCTGTGCTGAACGGTGCTTCTGTGAACATGCATGCACGTGTATTTGAGCATCTGTTTTCCGTTCTCTCGGGTATAAACCTAGAGTGGAGTTGCTGGGTCACGTGGTCATTCTGTGATAATGCAGAACTCTCAGAATTCTCTGTTTAACTTTTGGAGGAACTGCCAAGCTCCTTCCCAGCGGCTGCAGCATCTTCCGCGGCCACCCACGGCCACAGGGTTCCAGTTCCTCACCTCCTCACCAACGCCGGCTATTTTCTGATTCTTTTCTGCATTATGACGGTAGCTGTCCCAGTGGGCACGAAGTGGCCTCTCACTGTGGGTTCGGTTTGCATCTCTAATGACGGGCGGCGCCGAGGTCCTCGGGCAGCTCCTGGCTGTTTGTATATCCTGTTTGGAGAAGTGTCTATTCCAGTTCTTTGTCCAGTTTTGGAACGGGTTGTTTGCCTTTTCGGTGCTGAGCTGTAAGAGTTCTTTATGCATTGTGAATACCAGGGCCTTCCTCCCATTCTGTAGGTTGTTCTAAATTATATCTTTAAAGAATTTTTATAGGTTGCCAAGTTCTGGTGAGATTGAGGTGCCCGGTTCTGAACAGCTGTTCGATCTGTCAGGGTGCTTCCTTATTGTTCTGTGCACCGATGCACAGCAGCCTGAGGAGTGACGGGGGACCCGGCGTGCCTGGACCGGGTGCCCACCTGGCCTGCGGGAGGGAGGAGTGGGAAGACACTCTCTGCAGTGCTAGGCAGGGGCTACAGTGACCAGACCCCAAAGCGCAATGCCCAGTTGGGGAGCAGGGGTTATAAGTGCTCTATCTCGTGCCCCCCAATCTTGCCTCTCGCTTCCCCTGTTACCTGAAACAAGCACAGCTCCATTCAGCTGCATCTGGTGGGAAACAGGGCAGAGGGGAATTGGCAGCAGGTTCATGCATCCATCTGTCCGTCCATCCATCCATCCATCTGAGATGCTTGCCAAGCCCCAGCTGCCAGCACGAATGGGTGCTAGGGTAGAAGCCTCCCCTGGTGGGAGCTGTAGACAGCCAGCAGCTCACCACAGAAACTGCTGTGAATGGCTGTGTGGCTGTATTGCAAAAGTCCTGGGCGGGCCAAGGGTGGTGTGTGTCACCAGGACCTGTGCCAGCAGGGCCATGAGCTGTCCTGCTTCTGGGGAAGCAGTTCAGGGAGCCTAAGAAAGGAGCAGGGGCTACCCGGCCACAGCGAAGAGCATTCCAGGCTGGGAATAGCATGTGCCAAGGTAGCTAAGGGCACTGTGAACAAGACCCCAGCTCAGGAGACTCCCAGGAGGGCAACTTAGGATACCTTCTCTGTCAGCTGGGGTCCCTGGAGGCCCGTCAGCTGGCCAGGTCTGGTGCATGCCTCATCACTCAGATCCGGCTCCTCCTCATCACTCCTCATCACCCCAAGACTCTTTCCAAGTCAGAGCCCCCCAAGGGCCCATCCTGTGCCCTTTTCATCTTGTAAGCCTGATGCTCTGACTTGGCTAAGACAGTGCCACACTGGAGCAACACTGCCTGGGTCCAGTCCCAGCTCACCTCCTTACAAGCTGTGTGATCTTGGGCAGGTGTCTGGACCCCTCTGTGCACAGGCTCTTCCTCTGCACAATGCTGATAATGGTAACCATTTGAGCCGTGGCATCTAACATGCTTATACCCCCGCACAGATGGCAGAGCCACGGCACTCACTCCAACCCTGGCCCGTCCCGGCTCTGTGGGCATCTTCACTGGCATCTTTACTTTCTAAGCTTGGCGTCTAAGGCCAATCCTCGCACCCAGTGTTGCTGGACCACCAGTCCATGGAACAGTTCCGTGCCCTGACCCTTGGCAGCTCTTCACCTCTCTGTGCCTTGATTTCCCAGGCCGTAAAATGGGACAATAACTGGCCCTACCTCATGCATGGCTGGATAATTCGGGGGATGAATATGGGCAGCACCTGAGCAGGACCTGGTGTGTCCCAGCGGACAAGGCTTTAGCTCTGTACTTGGCACCATCGTGATTGGGTGGTAGGCGGGCACCAGCGCCTGGGGCTTCCAGCCAGGAGAGGCCTGAGGGAGGCTTTCCTCACCATGGAGACTCCACTGGAAAGTGCTGAGCACCCACAGACACCCAGCCAGAGCTGGGCTGGGCAGGGAGAGGCGAGCTTTCTCTGGAGAGGCGAGATGGCCTGGAGGCCCTGCCACGGCGCAGGCTCCATTCCAGGGACTCAGTGCACCGTGCAAGCGGGAAAGCAGCTGCAGACAATGTGTGATGGATGGCACGTGTGACGGATGGCCGGTGCGACGGATGGCACGTGTGATGGATGGCATTTGTGACGGCTGGCAGGTGCGACCGATGGCAGGTGCGACCGATGGCAGGTGCGACCGATGGCAGGTGCGATGGATGGCACGTGCGACGGATGGCACGTGCGACGGATGGCACGTGTGACGGATGGCATGTGTGACGGATGGCATGTGTGACGGATGGCAGGTGCAACCGATGGCAGCTGCGACGGATGGCACGTGTGACGGATGGCAGGTGCGACGGATGGCAGGTGCGACGGATGGCAGGTGCGACGGATGGCAGGTGCGACGGATGGCACGTGTGACGGATGGCAGGTGCGACGGATGGCAGGTGCGACGGATGGCACGTGTGACGGATGGTACGTGCGACGGATGGCAGGTGCGACGGATGGCAGGTGCGACGGATGGCAGGTGCGACGGATGGCAGGTGCAACGGATGGCAGGTGCGACGGATGGCAGGTGCGACGGATGGCACGTGCCAAGAAAACCTCCTTTATGGACTCCAAATTTGAATTTCATGTAATTTTCACATCTCACAAAATAGTCTTATGATTTTCCTTTTCAACGTATTGAAACCGTGGAAGCCGTTCTTAGCTTGCAGACCGCAGGGAAGGAGTCCGTGGGGGCGGGGTGGGTCGTAGCTTGCTGTCGCGGACTGCAGCCTTCAGACCTGCTTCTGTATCCCAGCTCACCCCGCCAGGCCTCAGGCTCCCCATCTGTAGAACAACGTGACCCCTTCTGGCTCCAAGGTCCTGGGACTGCTGCCCTCGGCCCATGCAGTCAGCCACGTGCTGGGCTCAGGTGCGGGCCTGGACGCTGACCCCTGCCCCCGGCTCCCGGGGGTGGGGTGGGTGCCCCCACTGCACACCCCCTACCTGTACGTTGGCCCTGCCCAGAGCTGGGCACATGCAATGCCCAGGGTGGGTGTGCTGGGTACCATGGGGGCATGTGCTGGGTCCCATGGGGGGAAGGCCAGGCGAAGAAGTGATTCTTTTGGGTGGATGCAGGGCTGGCGTCCAGAGAGACCCAGCCCGAGCGCTTGTGGCCACCATCTCATGACCTCCGGGAAGCTTCCCTGCTGCAAGCTCCACCCCCTGGCACCCTGATGCCTCCCTCTGAGGCCTCCCAGGTGTCCCTTCAAAGAGGGCTGTCCCTCAGGGCTCAGTCAGACCCATGGAAAGTCAGCCCTGAACCCTGATGTCCCGATGTTTCCCTATTTCCCGACTGCCCTGCCCCACACTGGCAGGTGCCCCAGGAGGGTGGGTCCCTTCCTGTCACCGGCATGTCTGTGGAGGGGCTCTAGTCGGCCACCCTTGTTCTTCCATCCCCCCATGGGAGCTCTGGAACTACTGGTGGGTGGGACACAGGGTACCAGGTGAGAAGGAAGCGGAGCACCCCTCTCTGACCTCTTCCTATCATATGCTTGGCATCAGGCCAACCTGAGCTCCTGGCCCCAGACCAGCCCCGATGTCCTGTCCCCTACACCCACATCTCTCTCTCTTGCAGGCAGAGTACAGGCTGTGCAATGGGTCAGACAAGGAGTGTGTGTCCCCCACTGCCAGGGTCACCAAGAAGGAGACTCTCAAGGTGAGCCTGGGCCTGGGGAGGGCGCAACCATGTCATTGTGAGACCCATGGCCACCAAGCCAGGGAGGTCGCCCTCCCCGCCTGCCAAAGGAGGGGGTACAAACTGCCCCTGGTTGCCTCCACACCCCCCGATTCCTCTCCTGTCCCTGCCCCTGGACCCACCCCTGGACTGCAAAGGGAGGAGTTGGGGCAGCTCAGCACCTTTTCCTATAATCCACCTCGGGTGCCCCGGGCCCAGGCACAGAAGGAGAACTACCGGCAGGAGAAGAAGCGTGCCACGCGGCAGCTGCTCAGCGCCCTGACGGACCCCAGCGTGGTCATCATGGCTGACAGCCTGAAGGTAGGCAACACCCAGCCTCTGGCCACCCAGGACACAGCTTACCATGCTGCTGCCATAACAAAGGACCACACACCCGGTGTGGCCGAAAATGGTGAAAATTCACTTCCCAGCATCTGGCTGTATCACTGCAGCCTCTGCTCCATCCTCACGCAGCCTTTCCTTATCCACCTGCCTCCCCTTTTTACAAGGACACCAGTGGTAGGAATTAGGGCCGCCTTACTCCAGTGCAGCCCTTCTTCACCTGATGATGTCTGCAAAGACCTCATTTCCAAATAAGGTGTGGCCTGGCCAGCAGGCAGAGAGTGCCGGGGAGGGAGGCATTGCTCCGGCTTCTGGGAGAGGACCCCACATCAGGGCCAGGTGTCCCGTGTTCAGACCTCACAGAGACTGTGGCCATTCACTCAGCCTCTGAGCCTCAGTTTCCCCTTGCACACAGTGGGGGTAAAACTGCCCAACTCCAAGGCTGCCAGGCAGTCCCCTTCTACCCACGTACCAAGATTACGAATCAAAAGTTAGGTGCAAAAGTAGAATTTAGATGAGAAAAGAAGTGACAACTAGTTTCAGAATGTACAAAGCCACCAGTTACAGCAGTCACACCGTGCATTGCTGGGTCCTCCCTGAGGGCCTTGATCTTGAACTCGACCCACATGAACCTCACAAGGAAATCTGTCCCTGCTGCCACGTATTTCTTTGCATTCGCCATAGCACATGGACAAGGACCCTGCCCTGAGTTCCACTCTGTGTCCTGCGGCACTGCCCACCCGTGGCTTGGCCCTTGCCCGGGCACAAGGCAGGCACAAGACACCACCCCAGGTAGTGGGAGGGCGAGGAAGGGGCCAGTTCTGAGCTGGTGTGAGGGAGTGAGGGAAGAGAAGGACCCCTCGGCACCCCACCCTGGTCTGTGCCCAGCTCCCCACCAAGCCATCCAGATGCCCCAGGGGTGCTGGCACCGGACGGCGGGCATTGACCACAGCACCCTTCCTGCAGATCCGCGGCACCCTGAAGAGCTGGACCAAGCTGTGGTGCGTGCTGAAGCCAGGGGCACTGCTCATCTACAAGACGCCCAAGGTGGGCCAGTGGGTGGGCACGGTGCTGCTGCACTGCTGTGAGCTCATCGAGCGCCCCTCCAAGAAGGACGGCTTCTGCTTCAAGCTCTTCCACCCGCTGGACCAGTCTGTCTGGGCTGTGAAGGTGCTGTGGAGGGGTGGAGTGGAAGACAGAGGCCCTCCATGGCCAAGGGGCTCATTCCTGGGGCCTTGGTGGAGGGTGGACCCAGCCAGCTGTCAAGTCCAAAATGGGCCCCTTGGGGTCTTGGGCAGGTCTCTCACCTTCTCTGAGCCCCACGTGGGCCGGGGGATCAGATGTGGTTCTGGGTCCTCCATGCGAAGCACACAGGAGGCTGCACAGATGTGGCAGGGTGCCAGCAAGGTTACCCCCACCCCTTACCCAGCTGCTGTCCAGCAGGGAGGCTAGTGGCCACTCCCCATGGGTGGCTGAGGAACAGCGCCCGGCCCTCACCCCTCCTAAGCTGGGGCTGCCCTGCCAGAGAAACCCGAGCACCTGGTTACATTGGATTTCAGAGAAACGTCAGGGTTTTTTCACACAACTACGACCCCAGCTGCACGTGGGTAAACTTAACATCAACAAGCTGCTGGTGGTTTCTCTGGGATTCGAATGTCACTGGGCATCCTGGCTGTGCATTTGCTGATTCTGGCCACCCCAGGTCGGGAGGCTCAGAGCTGGAAAGCTGAGGGCAGAGCTCCCCCACCTCCCCACCTGGTGGCCCCATGACCCTGGGGGTGTCCAGGTGGGCCTGGGTGTGGGTTCGCATGGTTCTGCCTGACCTGTCTATGCAGGTGGCCCTGGGTGTTACCTCGGGTGACACCCTGATTTGTGTCTCTCCAGGGCCCCAAAGGCGAGAGCGTGGGCTCCATCACACAGCCCCTGCCCAGCAGCTACCTGATCTTCAGGGCCGCCTCCGAGTCAGACGGTGAGTCCCCACCAGCTTGTGTATATCTTCAGTGTCCCCACCTGAAGTGGCCCCCTTTTGAGGTTGTAGCTCAGGTACAGATGGCCCCAGTCCAGTCCCTTCCACTGCCTGGGGCCAGCCTGAAGTCTGGCCGGGACAAGCCCAGCTCAGAGCCAGGCAGGCCTGCACTCACAGAGCCCCCACTCCTAGCCTCAGTTTCCCCATGGTAAAATGTGACATGAAAATACCACCTGTCACCCCAATGTTGTGAGAACCCAGTGACCTTATAAATGCACCCATATAACAATTGCTGAGCTCCAGCCACATGCCAGCGTGAACCCCAAACATCTGAGACAGGTCTCAGTTAATTTAGAACATTTATTTTGCCAAGGTTGAGGACGCGCCTGTGACATGGCCTCAGGAGGTCCTGACCACCTGTGCCCAAGGTGGTCAACGCAGAGTTTGTTTTTATACATTTTAGGGAGACATGAGACATCAGTCAACACATGCAAGATGAACATTGGTTTGGACAGGAAAGGCGGGACAATCAAAGTGGGGAAGGGGCTTCCAGGTCACAGGGAGATAAGAGACAAATGGTTGCATTCCTTTGGGTTTCTGATTAGCCTCTCCATAGGAGGCAATCAGATATGCATCTATCTCAGTGGGCATAGGGGTGACTTTGGATGGAGTGGGAGGCAGGTTGGCCCTGAAAAGCTTGGCTTTTCCCTTTTAGCTTAGTGATTTTGGGGGCCCAAGATATTTTTCTTTCATATTTCACCCCTTTTTCTTTTTTAAAATCTTTTGGAGAAAGCATTTTAGAAGAAAATGAGTCTCTGGTATCAGGTTCCATCTGATATTTCGTGGCTAGGACGGTTTTATTCATAGACAAGTAGGTCCCAAGTTATTAGGAAAGCTCATTTTCAGAAGGTTTGTGAAGTCTCGTGTCCTATGAAGACAAAATAGGGGGAGGAAGGAAGAAAAACAACAAACAAAAGAACAATCCTGGGAAATCAATAGAGGCCACATCACTCTGAAGTCCATACATAGTGCGCAGGCATGAAGGTGGCGTGTGGATGTGAGTGGGTTGCTGTTCTTTTCTTCGGAAGTTTAAGTCGTCTAGCTTCAGTTCACAGGCTTTACGAAAGCACAGCTTAATCTTCCGTGACTCCAAAGTAGGAAAAGTAGGGGAAAAAAGAAGGAAAAAAATTGAAAACATTAGTCTGAAGACTTGTAGCCAACAAAAATTAGAATTTCATCCAAACTGTAGAAAATAACAAAAATTGAAAAGCAGGCAAGACTAGAATCTAACAACAGCTGTACTGTAGTTTTTGAAACATGATTTTTCTCTCCTGCTTCCCATTTGAACTAGGGAAGAATCATGGCAGGACTGGTCTGCTTTGTTATACTTGGCCTAATTGTTTATATACAGCGCACCAAGAATAATTATTTTTTTTTTACATAGGCTTTTTAATTGGCTGTGATGGAACTTTGTTTCATAGAAGGAATCTCAGATAAGACTTTTTTTAAAGCTGAATCCAGTCATGGATTTGTACCATTAAATGCCTATCAGTTAGGTGAATTATTGTCTTTTTGAGGTTCGAAAATAAATTTGGAGGTCCTGGGCCTGTCAGAAAGTGACATTTCTTTACTTACACGGGTCAGGAGCCTGTCCAGGGACTGTGTAGACAAAAGTCTGAGGCCAGTTTTTCCAGGAGCTTTCATTGGCTCTGGAAGTCACGTTTGAATCCTTAAAGGAAAGCTCATTATTCCAGTCAAAGCCTTGGTAAAATAACCAGTTTCTCCAATTGCGTCCTGTTACAAATGAAAACAGATTCTTTTTTTTGAGACAGAGTCTCTATGTTGCCGGGCACCAGGCTGAAGTGCAGTGGCATGATTTCAGCTCACTGCAACCTCTGCCTCCCAGGTTCAAGCAATTCTCCTGCCTCAGCCTCCCAAGTAGCTGGGACTACAGGCATCCACCACCACGCCCAGCTAATTTTTGTATTTTTTAGTAGGGATGGGATTTCACCATGTTGGCCAGGATGGTCTCGATCTCCTGACCTCATGATCCACCTGCCTCAGCCTCCCAAAGTGCTGGGATTACAGGCGTGAGCCACCATGCCCAGCCATGAAAACAGATTCTTTTTTTTTTTTTTTTTTTTTTTTTGAGACGGAGTTTCACTCTTGTTACCCAGGCTGGAGTGCAATGGCACGTCTTGGCTCACCGCAATCTCTGCCTCCTGGGTTCAGACAGTTCTCCTGCCTCAGCCTCCTGAGTAGCTGGGATTACAGGCACGCGCCACCATGCCCAGCTAATTTTTTGTATTTTTAGTAGAGACGGGGTTTCACCATGTTGACCAGGATGGTCTCGATCTCTTGACCTCGTGATCCACCCGCCTCGGCCTCCCAAAGTGCTGAGGAAAACAGATTCTTATTGCACTTATGCAAATAACTGTATTGTCATAAGTCAGAAATACTTGCAAATAGTTTCCAAATTCTGTAGAAATCAGGTAGAGAGAAACAACTGTGCTCCAATTTTTTTCCATAGGAGTATACTTTACTCAATTGTTAAAAGCTGTAAATACCTTAAAGTTTTCTTGACTCTGAAAAACAAAACAAAGGATCAGCAATGTTTTAAGCAAAAAGTCAAAAAGATTACTTCACATTTCTATTAGTTTAGTCCATGCAGTTAATTCCTGTTCTGCTTGATATTCATGAACATTTCAGCTCTCCATGAGTCCTGCAAGTTTTTCCTCTATTCTGATGTCACAATCTCTAGTTATTAGAAACCAGCATTCAAGAGCACCTGTTGGAGTTTTATAGTTTTATAGGTTTATTATAAAACCACCTTCTAAAGAAGACCAAAACAAGACAATAATTGTCCATAGATGACAAAAAGTTTTAGGGCACCCATAGGCAAAGACATGATTGACAAGGAAATTTGTTTCCTCTGTGGCAGAAAATAATTTAACATAACAATTATGATCATTACTGATAATGTACATTAAGTCATATCAGAATTATGGGAATTTCCCATAATTTTGGAATACATACCAATGACATATTTATGCAAATACAGCCCAAAGAAAACCAAGCACCATTTTATATTTGATAATGCTTCCTGTATAATTTTTATATCAAATAAGCCAAATATGTCAATTTTGGACTTTAGGGAACCTATTAATGATATCTTAAAGGATTAGGTTAGAAAAAGACATAATTTTTAATTTGATTTTGGAAAGTTTGTTAAATATCAAAGGTTTAAAACACTTGATATAAAATAGCATTACAGATCATTGTAAAATAAGTCATTCATTTGACCAAAGTGATAAGGATTTCAAAAAAACATCAAAAACCTTCATTCTTTGAGACAGGAAACTTAATTTTCCCAACAATAAGCCCTAATAATATCATGAAGCCAATTAAATGTGTTTTCCAAAATTACCGTCTATAAAATGTTCATCTTGATCATAAGATGTAACTTCCATAAGCCTTTATAACCTTTATTAAGGAGTCAGTCATCGTTTCAGGAAAACCTTGTTAATCTGACACAGGGGATCATATTTGCATCAGTGTGACTTTGACATTAACGATTAATTTACAGAGAAACTGAATTTATTTTATATCTCAAAGTTGGCTCTTATAATCTCACATGCTTACCTCTTTTGAGACAGTCCCTGGACCTTGAGGAGTTGAATAGCTTTAATTTCTGGCCCCATGCCTCAGGAATGCAGTTTCTTTTGATTGGCATCTTCTACTGGGCCTGAAGATGAGGCTTTAATTGCTGTCAATGTTTAAGATTTAGCAGGACTTGGTGTTCTTTTTAGACCCAAGAGTCCAATTTCTTTAACTCAATGTTGCAAGGACTTTAAAAGCACATATGGGAAGATAAAAGGATGTCATAACCTTAATTTAAAAAAAAAAAATTTTAATCTCAGTTTTTTGTAAGCAAAACAAACTTAATAATAATGGCATGGGAATTATTTCAATAAAATAGAAAATCTGTTAGGCCAGTCATCACAAGGTAAAAGAAAGTACCTTCTGCAATTCATAGAATATCATGTTAGAAGAAAGCATTTTCTTTAAGAAAACGTTGTTAGTGTCAGGCCACAAAGGAAACAGAACCTGAGGAGGAAAATAGAACTTACATAAGCGGGAAATAAGCAGAAGGGGAGTGTTACTATTCATGCCTTTTAAAAGGGAAAACTGAAACTGGTGAGAGGCAATAAAAGTTGAACTTTGAGTTAAAATTAAAAAATTAAAATCTCATAATCGATTAAGGGTAAATCAACCCATTAGGAAGATGTCATTGTTCTAACCAATTATTTAGTGTATAAGTGTTTGTTTCTTTACATCAAACGCAATACCTATAAAGACCACTATAATTTCCCTTTAATCGTAGACAACTTGATCATATAAGAGGTTTTGGTGTTTCGTTTTGTTTTTTTAAAACAGACCCTCTTATTGCGACTTACACCGACCATTCATGACATGCTTGGGCCTTCTTGTTTATCCTGAGCATCCCTCTTTCATAAATAACCAGTCATTTTACTCTAGGACTAAATTTGCCATACAAGATTCTTTCTCATATGAAATTATTTCTCTTTAAGCTTTCTTATCAAAAAAACAAAAACAAAAATCTTCTTTATGACTTTCTTTACGTCTCTTTTACTCTTTTATTTCCTGGTTCCTTTTACTTTTATACATGACCTTTAAGCTTTGAATTAGACAAATTGTTCACCTTTTTTAAAACGACACACTTTTGTTTTTTAGAAAGAGTATTTCCCTACAAATATATTTTTATTGGAAAATATCCAAATAGTGAAAAATCTGTTATTTAATCTAACTTTAGATTCTAAATTATGATGAGTTTGTCTACAAGTATTTATCCTATTACATTTACACCATTATTTTAAACATTTACCTAGATTATTTACAAAAGCTGCAATTGTCATTATTTAAAGTTATTGAACCACCATTGCAAAATTATAACTGAGACGGTGAAAAAGAATGGACCTAAG